AAAAAGAAGAGGAAGAAGATAAAAGGAAGAAGATAATGAATTTTTGTAAATTTTTGTTAGAATTTTTACAAATTTGATGATTCTCTCTCCATTGTTTCAATTGATGATTGCTTTGTCTTTGCTCTTGCTCTTGCACAATCTTCTTCCTCAGATATCCTGCTGTTCAGCGACCCATGAAAAATGGGAAAGCATCATGGCAGCGGTGGACCATTTGAGAAAATAGGGGAATGATCAGATGTCCGCGAATCGATTGGAACTACCAAGATAGGAAAGGAGAAAGGGAAAGAAAGGGCTGGGTGCGTTTGGGCATTAACGACAAAGTAACGGAGATGGGTGTGTGTAATGGAAGGTGTAACGGAGGAGGGTAAACGTAGCTTTATCCATTCTTATATATGTCACGCTAGCAGGGCTCTGTAAGAGGAAATGGATTTTGTTTTCCTTTCCTTTTTCTTTTCCCTCCATTGATCACCAGGTGGATTCCTGTTTATTATAGGTTGGCAGCTGATTTGCCAAAAGCTGAAAAAGTTCTAGTAGTAGGAAGAGTTGTTGAGTCTTTGGGGCTGCAGCAAGTGAGGGATTCTCTCGTTGGGACGGTGGAGAAGTGGGGAATATCTGGGGGTCAGAGGAAACGAGTAAATGTTGGGCTGGAAATGGTAATGGAACCTTCACTTTTGATATTGGATGAACCAACAAACCGACAGTTCATCTTCCCAGTTACTACTAAGAGCTCTTCAACGTGAAGCTGTTGAAGGGGTAACATTTGCATGGTCATTCACCGGCCAAGGTAATATATAATTAAATGAGTGCTGACTTTTATGAAATACCTATTTTTTTTGTCCACGTTCTCAATTTTCTGAGGATAACAGGTTAGAGTGTTCTGTTGGATTTCAGCTACACCTTGTTCAGGATGTTTGATGATTTGATACTTCTTGCAAAGGGTGGTCTTACAGTATATCATGAACCAGTGAAGAAAGTTGAGGAGTACTTTGCTGGCATTGGAATTACTGTCCCAGATCGTATTAATCCCCCTGACTACTACATTGACATTTTGGAGGGCATGGTAAAACTACCTACAAGTTCAGGGATTACTCATTAACAACTTCCAGTTCGATGGATACTTCATAATGGATACCCTGTTCCTATGGATATGCTACACATTGTGGAAGGAGTGGCCTCATCCTCACCTGACGAAAATTCAGCTCATGATGGAACGGCTCCTGATGCTGAATCACAGGAACAGTCTTTTGCTGGCGACTTTTGGCAGGAGATGAAGTGTAGTGTTCAGACAAAGGACAACATACAGTTAAATTTCCTTAAGTCAGGTGACTTATCACAAAGGAAAACCCCTGGCGTGTTACATTAGATTCTATAAGGGAAAAGTTTCTCTACTTTTGTTTTTCTTGAGATACATACTATAGTGGTTCTGGTTGATTATAATTACTTAAATTTTGAGTTTTTAAATTTTCAAGATGGAAGGGAAAATACTCTATCCTCAAATATTTTGTTTCTTTCAGATTTTCTAAGCTGTTGTTTTATGGTTATAACCATGGTTGTAAAAATCGCGATTTATATCGTAAAATCGTCCGATTTTACGATATTAGATAGGTATTCCAAGTAAAATCGATGCTAAAATCGGATTGTCATAAAATCGGGGTTGAAAATCGTAAAATCGTGATTGAAAATCGTAAAATCGTGATTTTACAGTAAAATCGTTTGAAATCTCGATTTTGTGCTGCCGAACGCCGCTGCTCATGCCGCTGCTCACGCCGCTCACTTCTCAAGCAAAGAAGTTGCTGGCCGAACAGAAGGTGATCCAAATGATCTAGAGCCAGCTTTGCACAGTAGAAATTGGTTGCTGCTGCTCATTACTCAAGCAAAGAAGGATAAAATCTGTTGAAAAAAAAGGAGTAGATAAGGAGAAAGAGAGCTTGAATGGAGGAAAAATGGTGGAAAAGATGGAAAATGGCAGCAGAGAAAACAAGGAAGGTGAACTGGTGAAGGATGGAGGGATATCAAATTTAGTGGAGGTTATGTTGACACGTGTGGGATAATGAGGTTATGTTTATAGATATTTTAAAATTTTTAGATAAAGAAGATAAATGTGATTTAGTTTAAATAATAATTTTTGTTAATTTTTTTTATTTTTTATTTTTATATTATCATATATTATAATATTAAAATTTAATTTTGTTAAAATTATTGTA